CTGGGGGGCTCTACGAGGGGTCTGGGGGGCTCTGGGGGGCTCTGGGGGTCACTCACGAGTCCCGGCGGCGCCGCAGGTGCTCGAAGACGAGGAGGCCGCGGGCGTTGACGCTGCAGAGCAGCTCCCGCTCCCGCAGCAGATCCATCCGGAACGGCCGCTCCGTCACCAGCAGGCGCAGCCCCCCCGGGCCCAGGGACAGCTCCAGGGTGCCCCCGTCCCTGCCCGTCACTGCCAGCCTGCAATGGGGGGATTGGGGGAATTGGGACCCCCCTGAGCCCCCCCTGTGCTCAGGGACAGCTCCAGAGTCCCCCCTTCCTCTCCCCCCACCAGCCTGGGGGAAGCAGCAACTGGGGGACACTGGAACCCCCTCTGGAGACCCCCCCAAATCTTTGTCATCCCTGGGGACCCCCAGAAGCTGCATTGTCCACCCTCACCTCTCGGTTTTGGGTTCCCAGCTCCCCTCACCTCTCATATTTGGGGTCCCAGCCCCTCTGACCTCTCATATTTGGGGTCCCAGCCCCTCTGACCTCTCGGTTTTGGGGTCCCAGCCCCCCTCACCTCTCGGTTTTGGGGTCCCCCACCAGCACGTCGGGCACTTGGAACCGGGGCCGCAGCGGGTTCAGCTCCGAGATCCGGAACCGCGTCATGTTCCCCTGGAGCCCCCAGATCTCCAGGAGCAGGGGGACCTGCCAGGGGGGCACAGATGGGGTCACTGGGGGGGTCACCCACCCTGGGACAGCTGGGACAGGGGCACGGTGACACCCCCCTGTCCCCTCACCTGTGTCACCTCATTGACCAGGTGAATTGGGGTTGTTTTGGGGGGCAGTGACCCCTCTGTGACCCCCCTGTCCCCTCACCTGTGTCACCTCATTGACCAGGTGAATTGGGGTTGTTTTGGGGGGCAGTGACCCCTCTGTGACCCCCCTGTCCCCTCACCTGTGTCACCTCATTGACCAGCTGCACCCGGGCCGAGTCCTGGCCGAGCTCCAGCGACTCCAGCAGGGCCCGGAACGGGGAATTTCCCGGCTGGATCCGGCGCTGGCGCCTGGTGGGGGGGACAAAGGTCCTCAGTGACCCCCCTGGGCCGTGATCCCCCCCAGGGGGGTCCCCAAACGCCCCCCAGACCTGCAGAAGCCGCTCTGGTCGCAGGTCTTGAAGTTGCTTCGGTCGACGGCGAGAGAGACCCCCAGGAACAGGGTCAGCCACAGCGGCCACCTGGGGGGACAGGGGGGGACAGGGGGGGTCAGGGACCCCCAGAGAGACCCCCAGGAACAGGGTCAGCCACAGCGGCCACCTGGGGGGACAGGGGGGGTCAGGGGGGACAGGGACCCCCAATAACACACCAGGCAGGGCCATGGGTCCCCCAAAACCCACCTGAGGGGACAGAGACCCCCCAAAGCCACCGTGGGGGGCACAGGGAGGCTGGAACCCCAGAACCCACCTGGGGGAGTCAGGGGGCTCAGGGGAGCTCTGGAACCCCCAAACCCACCGGGGGGTGGGTCAGGGACCCCCCCAACATCCACCAGGCGGGGGGCAC